ACTAGAACTCAAAGTTATGAGGCAATCAGTTACATCAAAGTTTCTAAGCTGATCAAATTCAAATCACAGATTACCAGAAATTACTTTCTTCGTACTTCTCCATTAGATTTCACTTCATAAAATTGTTAATTACGGAAACTCAAAACATTTCAGTACTGCTATTTAAAGTTTTTTTTTTAAATGAAATCAAATGTTTTCATTTGCAAGGAGTTTATTTTTATGTTAATGTTTGTTTTGTTTCTTTACCCTTAATTGGTGAAGATTCTCATTCATCCAGGTCACAGTCAGTCCAAAAAAGTTAAAAAACAATCCACTGGAAACAAAGTCCAGTGGATTGTTTTTTGACTTTATTGGTTTACCCTTAACTTTTAAGGGTTTGCTATGAGTTGTTGTGGGAAGAGGAGGATGCCGAAGCCATCCCCTGTGTTCTTTGTTTTGCTCTTTGTTTTTGGCTTCTTCTGGAGCCTCTTTTTGCAACTTACTTTGCATCCAAAGTAAGTTAAAATATCCAAGTTCATTTTTTACATGTAAATGCCGTAAAAAAAAAAAAAAAGTAAGTACGTCAAACTTAATTATTCTAACTTATTTACTCAAAAAATTTCAGGTAATCAGTTTCCACAAACTTTTTAACTATTCTGAGCTTATTCAGGTTTACTGTGACTCACTCATGATGTTGCAGTGCTAGTCACACCCTTTGCCAACTCATCCATTGAAAATAGGATATTATTGTCAAAATCTACATAAGTAATTCCTTATTACAGTTAACCTCTTCTTTATAATGTTTTTTTTTAAATACAATTATTAAATACACAAATAATTCAGAAACTGAAATTTAAGTTAAATACTCAAAAGAAAAAGATATGTTGTGTTAACTCACACATTTTATTTATGAGAAATTTTTGAAAACAATGAATTTAAATTATTCACTCTAATTTCTTTAAAAAATTTGGTGGTAAGTAATTAATTTGAACTCACCTTCTGCCATTTTATTTATTTTTTTATTCAAACTATTGAGTTAAATAGAAAATCTAACAAAATATATTTAAATTAAAAGTATCTAACGGCATGGGTATTAACTTGTTCATATGCTGTTTTCATCTGTAAACCTAATTTAAGACCAGCAATTTCCCTTTATTTAAATATGTTTGTTTATATATCAATTTTACATCAATTAAGAGATCTAAGCCTCTTTGACATATTTAAGTCTTTGTTAAATAACCAGTTATGCACTTGCATGGCAGTTGTTCAAAGAAGAACAACCCCTAAACTGGATGTAGTTTTCTTACACTAATCACACACCAATAGCACGAACCAAATAGATTGGGGCTTATGGTGGGGAGGGCAGCATGTCCTTAGCCATGTTTGAGTGCAGTTTGTTTTCCTCCAAGTTAAATGTAACGGTTACATCCATCACAGAGGTAATGCAGGGCTGCATCCTTATGGTGAGAGCTGAAGTAAAGGGATTCAGCTTTATTTTCATTAATATATATGCAACAAACCAAGGCCATAAGGGGGAAGAAATTTTAAAAATATTGAAAGATTAACTAAATCATATTGGTACAGGAGAGTTTATTGTATTGGGTGGTGACTGGAACTGCTGCACTGATTTTACATTAGATAGGACTGGAGAGGAGCCACATATTCAGTCCTCCTCATTTCTGTCTCATGTCTTTAAAAAATTATTTGGTTGATGTGTGGAGAATGAAACACCTAGCCTGACGTAGTCCGACTCAATTCTAGTCAGAATATGAGTCTGATACTGCTCCATAGAGCTGTGATTATGGGGCGTGTTTCGAACGAACCAGGAAAAAAAATGCCTCTGCACTCAATTGGATAGACCTACAACCAATAAGAGCAACGGAGTGCGTGACGTATGTTTAGCGAGGCATAGTTGTTGTCCACAAAAATCAAAGCGTGCAGTTGCACGCCTAGAATAAGAAGATGAGCCTTGATCGCGTTTCTCTGTTCCTCTTTTAAAATTAATTTGCTGTCGATATCTTCTAGAACAGACCTAATAGCAGAATCTACTCACCTAAACTCTCCAGCGGCAGCCATTATTGTTGTCACCCAAGCGCGCATTGGTCACGTGGTTGATTACGTTACTGTTGGTCATCTGTCCATCATCGTATAAAGCCCGCCCTGACAATTTGATTGGATCGCCTGACAGTGGGCGATAATACTCGCGCTACTATGGAGCAGAGCCAGACCGAACTTCCCCGACCTCAAACTTTGTGGGCGGGACTAAGTTCGGACTGGCACCCAGGCTATGAAACACCCTCCAGATAGGCAGTATACTTGGGTCAAAATATTAGAGTAAGAGCAGATAGACTGGACAGGTTTTATCTACCTGCTTCTTTTCTTGCAGAAGTTTTAGCTGTCAGATCTTCCCAGTAGTTTTTACAGACCATCATTTAGTCTTAATGGAGCGGTCTCTCATGTACAAAACAAAAATTTCATTTTGTACTTGACATTTCTATAAAAGTGCAGCAGTGATCAAAATGTAAAACGCATTGATATGGTCAGTTTGATGCAGAGACTGTGACATGATTTAGAGTTTTTTTAACATTCAACTTTTTTTAATTTTTTTTCTTTTGTTTTTAACATTCAGCTGTCTGATGGTGGTAGGGAACAAGCTGTTTCGGAATCTACTGGATCTGCATTGATTGTTGAGAAGCCATTTACAATTGGGATGATGCTATCAGCCTTGCAAAACTATACATTTTTTTGCAAAGTGTGTCTGTAAATTCGGCCAGATGCTTTTAGCTCCGGAATACAATCATAGAAATGGATTAAGCCATTTCTTTTCGTCTGCTCTGCATTTTCCTTCTGATTAGTTTGGCAAATTTCTTTTTCTTTTTTTGTCGTTTCAAAATCATTAGCATTGCTCATCTTAACTCATCTTGAATTTATCTATTAGATCCCTATTAATGAATGACCTAAACATCTCAGCTTTCTTAAGATGCTTAAAAGCATCTTAGTCTCTTATGTAAATTTAAGAATATAAAGACAAAAAAAAATATTTAAAGTTCTCTAAGTCATTCTACTGGCATTTAGCAAAAATAAACTAATTTGCTAAAGATGAAGGTGAGAATATTTTTTTTTCTAGAGTGTATTAAATATCCTCTTTTAATTGTATTAAGGTGATTCTGTCCAAAACAAGGAAACAATGAAAACTATCCACCCAAACGTTTTATTTATTTAAATTTTTTTTTTCAGTCTATGCTGATGAGAAATCCCAACCAGAAAAAACCTAATCACAATTGTATACATTGATGCTGTTTAGAGTAATGTATGATTCTACATAATACATACAGTAAATTAGCCTGGGTGCCATTCCGAACTTAGTCCCGCCCACAACGTTTGAGGTCGGGAAGTTCGGTCTGGCATTGCTTAATAGTAGCGCGAGTATGCACGCACAATATCTGGCGGGCCAATCAAATTGTCAGGGCGGGCTTTATACGATGATGGACAGATGATCAACAGTAACGTAATCAACCACGTCACCAAAGCGCGCTTGGGTGACAACAACAATGGCTGCCGCTGGAGAGTTGAGGTGTGTAGATTCTGCTATTAGGTCTGTTCTAGAAGATATCGACAGCAAATTAATTTTAAAAGAGGAACAGAGAAACGCGATCAAGGCTAATCTTCTTATTCTAGGCGCGCAACTGCACGCTTTGATTTTTGTTGACAACAACTATGCGTCGCTTAACATACGTCACTCACTCCGTTGCTCTTATTGGTTGTAGGTCTATCCAATTGAGGCATTTTTTTTCCTCGTTCGTTCGAAACACGCCCCATAATTACAGCTCTATGGAGCAGTATCAGACTCATATTCTGACTAGAATTAAGTAGGACTACGTCAGGCAAACAGTAAATAGGTTGAGCAGTGCTTTCTTGTCTTTACAGAAATTGCTCTTATATGACTGCAGAGAAAAATTCTCCCTTATAAAACCTAAATCCTACTTTGTAAAAGAGCAAGTGTTTAGTCTTGGTCATCTTTACCTGGGGTATATATTTGTGAATACTGTTTTTCTGTATTTTTGTTGTCAATTTTTAGTTCGTATACCAACTTTAAAATGTAAATTCCACATAATATTATCAGCGCTGCCACTCTACTTTAGAGGAGAACTGCTAGTTCCAGAGAACTGCTAGTTACTCTGCGTGGCACCTGTCTGCCTGTTTGTTTGTCTGTCTGTCTACTTGCCTGTCTGCCTACCTGACTGCTCAGGTCCTCTGAGCATGAGGGTTTTGTGCAGTATTTTAGCTGCTTAGCTGTTCCTAGTACTGCAAACTTTTGCACTAAGATGTCCGATGTTTCTCCAGGTACCTGTTTACGCTACTTCCCCAGTATATGGGTTACTTTACCCTGATGACCATGTGCACTTCAGTTGTCTTCACCTTCAGGCTCTTTCTGGTTCTCCCCTGAATATTTGGTATTTCTTCAGTTTCTTGTGTTTTTTTTTTTTTTTTTTTCCTGATGTTTCCATCTTCTGGGAAGGCCACATCAATCACCACAGCTGTCCAGCTTGTGTTCTACACAGATGTTTCTGTACATTTATCCAGCCATTTGGTTATGACATTCCCTTTATATTTTTCCTGCTATCTTACACCCAAGAGTTGCCTTGTGTTTCTGAGACCTTTTTTCATAGCCTTATGATTGATATGTTGTTGTTTATGTATTTACAGAGTGTATGTTCAACAGACATCTTTACATTAGAAAACATGTGCATTTTAAGTAACTTCATCATTAGCCCCACTGAATTTACTACTACTAAATATATTTTTTTTTTTTATTGGTATAATTAAACTTAATACCAAAAAATATCCATGGGGCATAATATTGTTTACAAATCCATTATTTATTGGAGAATGGATGAAATCATACTGCATAAAAGGCTTTTAAAATTTGAAGATGTTTTAGAAATGAACCTTTTGAGTATATAAATTGTCAAATTATAAAAAATATATGTATACTCTACATATTGAGGGATTGGAGTTATTTATTGTCTTTCTGTGCAGTTTCTGTTTCAGAAATGTGCAAGAATTTACAGCCAGCAATAATCATGTTAGTTTTTAGTGTCCAGAGAATTATCTTCATCTGCATTTTCCTCTTCTTTAGTATTGGTGAGGTCATAAGGTCTCTTCTGAAAACATCTGGAAGGGAAAAGATGCATATTTAACAGGTTACTGACTTGTGATAGTAAAACACTGTCACCACTGCAAACACTGTTTTAAATTTCTGTTATGGAATGGACATTTTTTAAAATATGCTATAAGACTGAAAAATATATAAAAAATATATAAATCTGTGTATATATTGTATACTTTGGTTAGATCTCTAACTTTTTTTCAGTGAACTTTTTTTTTCTAATGCTATTTTTGTAAATTTGATACTAAGATTTAAGGCTATACTGCAATGTTAGATAATTGCTGTTTGACTCATTTAATATACAGGTTTTATGTGAATCTTGACAGATTTTTGTTTATTGTAATTAGGTTTACCAAATTATATGAATGAGGCTCATTGCCACATTAAAGGCTGAGATGGCCTAAAGTATTTCTAAATGTTTATTTTCTACAGAAATACACTATGGGCAACCTACAGCCAAACATCATGGTGCAACAACGTTGATTGTTGCAATATTGTTAGGGGTTCAAATGATTATAGCTAAATGCTCTGCTTTGCTCCTTTATATTTTTTTCTAACTTTTCACAAATAGCAGCCAATAAGAATTCATTCATCAAATTTTTTTGTGTCTTTTTTTTAACATTGGCTTTGTTAGAGCTCTAACGTCTTAGATAGTCAATATTTTACCTGTTTCCTTCTGTAACAATTACTGTAGTTTGGATAAATTCTGGGAAATCACAAAATTTAAACTGGAAAGATAAATTGTAAATTTCCTATCAAATGTAATTATATTTTTCTGAGCTCTTTGCATTAACGTACCACACTGACTGGAAAGTTTTTCAATCAGTTTGGTTGTGGGATGGATGGGTATGTATTTAAGAATGTTGCTAGTTAGTTATGACACAACAGAGGTACTTGTGCAATAGATCAGCCCGTGGCAGTTTTATCCTCAGGGTCTATTCTGACTGGTGATGTTAAACAGTAAAACATTTTAATGTAAATGTTGGCTAAAAATAGTGCTCAGACATTTTTGGCATCAGTCAGAAAACATGTTGTAACATGTTTGCTGTAACAGGACATATATACTGTATATACCCCTGAGTCTAATTTTTAACTTTTGTCTTTGGGATTTGTTTTACCTAAACATTATTTAAAAATATCTGAGTACAATAACACAGATTTGGTGTTTTATTTAAATAATGCCCTAAAACATCTGACCTACTACTAAATTAATGGCAGTTAATCTAAAGAAGAAGTAAGAGGTGGTTTTCATTTACCCAGGAAAGCTCTGCATATGGCTGATGGTTTCCGGCAGAGGCATTCCAAAGCTCTCAGGGAGAAGGAGGCTAATCAGTCCAGTCAAAGCTGTGAGACTTCCAATAAGGATGTAAGGCAGGGAAACAGAATATGTTCCTGTGGTGGGACATAAAATAACAGATTTCACACAACTAAATTTTTCTACAGTCACAGAAAAAGAGTTTCTAAAAACAACTAAAAACAGAACATCTGTCATTTTGGGAGATAACATTTTTCTTTGTATTAAAGACCCAGGACAAAAAATGTAAAACTTGATGCTGTCCAGCATGTATGAGGCATCGAATGAATGTTCCAGGGGTGCTGAGTTTATCCTTCCAGACTTTCAGACTGTTCCTGATCATCTGGTCAGTAAGGTACTCAACCACTGTCACAAATCACACCTGTTCTGTTACCCTGGGGTCACTAAAACTACCCAAGTTGTTCAGACAGTTTTTGTTGCCCACCCTAATCTCAGACATAAAGGTGTTTGTTGTAACCTGTACCCAGTGCAATCAAGCCAAGAGGTCTAGACCACCTCCCTCTGGATAACTATGACTGCTTTCTGTGCCCTTGGCCTTGGTCCACATCTCCATGGACTTCATCACTTGCTTGCCTGTCTCTGAATATAACTCTGTCATTTTCACCATGGACAGATTTTTGAAGATGGTTCACCGGTTCCTCTAATGAAGCTTCCCACTGCCAAAGAAATGGTAAAATGACCTGTACTTATATAGCGCTTTTTCAAGTCAAGAGACTTGACCAAAGTGCTTTATACTACATTCAGTCATTCACCCATTCACACACACACTCAGACACTGATGGTGGCAAGATACATTGTAACCACAGCTGCCCTGGGGCTCACTGACAGAAGCGGGGCTGCCGTACACTGGTGCCACCGGGCCCTCTGACCACCATCAGTAGACAATGCAGGTGAAGTGTCTTGCCCAAGGACACAACAACACTGAAAGTCGGAGCCGGGGCTTGAACCGTCAATCCTTCGATTTCAGGGCAAACTCCTACTGTACATCCGACGCCACTGTCGCCCCTATATCCCCGAATTCAGCGATAGAAATGTACAATATTATCTCAAAAGAGGTTTTTAATTTACATGCAATCCCCACAGACATCATTTTGATAGGGGGTCCCTAATTCGTGGCTCAGGACTGGAAGGAGTTCTGTTCTCTGCTGGGGATCTACTGTATGTTAGCTTGTAATCTGGTTTGCATCCTCAAACGGATGGAAAAACCGACTGGGCCAACCTGGAGGTCGAAACAAATCTCCCCTATTTTCTGAGTCAGATTTCACCAGATAGGAACAAAACTTACCCTGTGTCAAGCATGAGATTAACCCCCTGCCTTCTAGTACCACTGGTCTTTCTCCTTGCTATGTTGTTTTTGGATTTAAGCCACCAATGCTCACCTTACAAAAAAAGGATGCCAAAGTTTCTTCTGTCTGATTAGCAGGCACGAGGTGCCAACGAGTCTCGAGAAGAGCAACAAGAACCACGTGCAGGATGTTAGAGGTTCAGTCTCATGCCACCAATCTTCATTGCCTGCCACTACCACATTACGGAGTAGGTCAGAAGGTGTGACCCTCCACCCAGGACCATAATCTTCACATTTTTGACAAAGAAAACAAGTGGTTTGAGAGGGGCGTGAAGGAAGCTATCTATGATAAGAGAGAAAAACAACCTTAAACAGAGGGGAGGACTAAGATTTTTAGCTCCCATAAACCTATAATTCAGTGATAGAGTAGATCCCTGCAAGCTATCATTGCAACCCCACCCTGATACAGGGTTACAGAACACCTCGCCTGTTCAGCCAAGCCAACAATTCCCGCTAACAACCCTCATTTCAGAGACACAGACAGGTATCGGACATTGCAGGCTAACAAAGCACCCAACGACTGCCCATGCCCAAGGGGCGGACCCGTTTGTCCTGTTCAATTTGCATGTTTTCTGAGCCAAACTAAGCCCTGGTTTTTGGTACACTCTATAAAGCTTTGAACTCAATGCTATTCCTGACATTTTAATTCTAAAAAGCTACCTGGATGGGAAGGGAAACGTCTTCAAACTTGGGAACAAAGTCCAGTGGATCGTGGAATGATTATGACCTGGACGACTGAAAATCTACACCAGCTTACTGGGGAAGCTATGGAATGGAAGACGGAAATCCAAAGTGACACAAATTCAACAAATAAAAAGTGGTAATATTTATTTTAGTAATAGTTGAAGTTTTATTGTAACTAGATGCATTCATCAAATTTATCTGTATACATGATTTCTTTTTCTTTTTTTATTCAGTCTGGTATTTCATGATCATGCACTGGAGATGTAACAAATTAAGTTAATCTATGTGCCTTACAAATCAAAGTCATTTGTCTTACAACAAAGTCAGTCCAAGAGATTTAGATTTGTAAGATTGGCATTATGTTCTTTAGCACAGTAAACCAAAAGAGTTGTTTAAACACCTACATTCTTAGGCATGATTTTACCAAATAATTAAATTGGTTGATAGATTCCCCAAATTTGTTACTGTACTACTTTTACTGAGCAATCAAAACTTTCATTAATATATAATTACTTTAATTAAGAAAAAAATATAATTTGAATATAAATTGAATTTTTAAATTTGTGTTTTTTTTTCTTTTTCTCAAGACTTGGGAAATATGATGGCACTAACCCAAGTAAATGAAGTATGGTGCTACAATACTGCCTATTCTGGAGGCCGTTGAGGAAGCACCAATAGCTGTGTTCCTCAGTACAGTTGGGTACAGCTCTGCTGTGTAAGCAAAAATGACAGCAAATGCAGTCGATACTGCAAACTTCCCCATCATCTCAAATGTTATGGAGAGAGCAGGCAAGTCTGGAAGAAATTAAATCAAACCAACAAGATTAGATATAAAATTCTGGTATTAAAAATGTATAATAAAAACATAATCACAAGCATAGATGTCATACGTGGTGGTATTAGCTGTGTGATGAATATAAAGAATCCTCCTGCAAAAAGCGCTGAGCTAAGACTGAGCCGTCTGGAACACCAGCGGAACATAACCCATGACAAACCATAGGCTGGAACCTCTACCACAGCTGACAGGAAACAGTTGAAGAAAGGATTTCCATGCAGGTTTGCAGTGTTCAAAGAAAGAGCATAGTAGGCAATAGTGAGGGTATTCCTGTTGGGGATACATTTGAAACACAAATGACAGAATGATTAGATGCAAATCAAAGTTTAAATAAAATAGTTTTGTTTGTATTATGCTTGCCAAAAGATCGATGTTTGGCCAATGCTATGATCTTATCTACCAATGTTGACTTCCCAATCCAAGATGGCAGCAAAGTCAGTTCCTGTGTCAGGTGTGCATTTTGTGAGCTTTGTGGCAAAACAAATGATTTTTCTCCAATGCAAACAAATAACCTGCTGTGTGGGATTTCTTTAGATTTTGTTTTGTCTGAAGAGACTTACAGATGGCCTACATATGACAATCAACTTTGCCTCAGTCATAAATATAATGATGGCCAAATGAAGCCTAACGAAGCAACGAAGCAGTCCAACCAAATGCTGTGCCCAAAGGTTCAATATTTGATGTACAAAATGTTAAATTTGTATGGATAAGTATTTGGATGTTAGTTATTTTTATTAAAGAATTTAACTTTTTTACAGTATCTGGTCGAATGTGGTTTCTTTGTCAACTATTTTAGACTATTTAAACAATTAATTTAATTAAGACCATTTACATTAGATAGATATAACTGGGGGAGTGTTGGCCTAGTGGTTAGAGCAGTGTGCTTGTGCTCTGAGAAGGTTGCAAGTACCCGGTTCCAAAGCCCCACAGCCTCCACTCTGGGTTCGTGAGCAAAACCCTGCTCCACAGGCGCCACACAATGGCATCCCACTCCTCCCAAAGGGGATGCGTCAAATGCAGAGGTGAATTTCCCCATTGTGGGACAATTAAGGGATTAACATTTAACTATAGAGATCGTTTACCTAGCTATTATTAAAGCCTCCAAATTTGTAATCATACCTTATTCTAAATGGAAAATGGATTTAAAACACTGTAAAATGAAACCTGCATTATTAGTAGTTTTATTACTATTGCTATCAGGAAATGCTGAGACTAATCAAGGCTCAGATACACCCACACAATGCTCTACTCCTGCTGATTTTAAAGCTAGATCAGTTCTTGCCATTATTCATACCAATGTTCATTGTCTACTTCTTACATTAGATATTATTAAGGTTTGGATAAATTTAACATATGTCAATATCATAGTATAATCAGAAACTTGGCTCAAGCAATCTGTACATGAAAATTTTTTTCTATTGATGGTTATAATATTAAAGAAAAGGTTATAATACCTTAAGAAAAGGTGGTAAAGTAGCTACATATTTTGAGCGGAATTTGAGAGTAAAAATGGCACTTTTGCAGTCAGTAAGTAAAGAGCTTGAACTGCTAACACTTGAAGTGTAATTGCCCAGCGATCATTATGTCATGTTTGTTGGGTGTTATAGGCCTAAATCTCCCACTAGCAACTCACTAACTACAGTAGGCCTACTCTAATGAACCTTTAGGCAGAACTCAAATATAATGAAAGAGTGTTGGTTGGTGATTTGAACTTGGATTGTATTATGTCTGTTTTTGATCCTTTAAAGGCACAATGTGAATCCTTAAACCGTACATAATTATTAAGCTCTCCTACAAGACTCCATCCAAAATCTTTCAAAAATCCAATCACTGAAAACATTTCAACTAATATTCCTTTTAAAATTTGGTGTTTTTCCCAACGATATAAGCGATCACTGTGTTATTGTGCAAGGCACCAGGATTCCCAATGGTGCATTCAAACTGAACATGTTTACGGCGTCAAAAACGCTTAAATGCTGAAATTTGAACACTGGGTCTAATTCTAGTCAAGAAACTTTAACACTTTGCTCTGGATGCTCTGTGCTCTGGTTGTTTATGTTCTGTTGTTACAAGCTAGAGAGCTGAAAGTCCACCTCAAAACATCATCTGGGAAGTCAGTTCATCAGGACTATGATCCCACTAAAATGTGCAGTAATTTTTCGGAGCTCCTGACCTCCACCATAGCGACGGGCGGCAGCACTAGGAATCCGCTGTGAAAGCTCTGTAAATGGCAATCTGTGGGGCATATGCTGTTGCGTTTATAGCTGCTGAAGGTGAATATAAAGAGTTTTTGGTAAAAACTGCAAGGACTGGAATATACAATCAAATATTTTTCATCTGCAGGTTTTAACACATTTAGCTAATTCAGGTATTTAGAAACTGTTCCGCCATAGTTCATAAAAAATTTTTTAGTGCTTTGATCATTATTAAAAATGTTTCAATAAAAACATTTTTAATAATGATTCTAGAAACCACTTTGATATAGGATTTAAATGATGTCTTGATCAAAAATAACACCATGATTTATTACTTTATTATCTGAGATCGATTTAATTCCTTCCAAATGAAGTGACTGTGGTCCAAAGACTACAACTTCTGTTTTTCTGCATTCAGAAGAAGAAAGTTA